CCCCTCTCTGTCTCTCTCTCGCCCCCTCTCTCATTCCCTTCTCTCTCGTCCTCTCTTGTTATCTCTCTCTTCCCACGCTCGTGAAACGGAATAGGTTTAACGCCTCTGTCAACGTTATTAGGTTATTTAAGAGACAGGACCTCCCATTTTTACGTCGATCTCCGAAAGGACCGAGCTAAATGGGAGATTTGTGTAAAGTGTCTTTCCCAAAGACACAATGAGGGACCGAGCTGAAGCTCGAATCCCTGTACCCGCAATACCACAACTACGGGTCCGGTAGCCTAACCGCTAAGCCACCCACGCCACTACCTCCCTCTCAATCGTCTCACGTACACACCTTTTTCATTGTCTTATATAAAAATGATCATTTTCTCCCACTACATTTATGTCATCGTTTGCCATCTTTTATCTCCTTCTCAGCCCCCGTCTCCTATTCTTCCTCATTCTCTTCTTGTTTCATTCCCTCCTCTTTCATAATACACTACTAGTTCATATATAACAAGGTAACAAAAACGTACACACAAACAAACCAACAAAGAAAAAAAACGAAACAAAAGGTGAATGTATTGATATCAAGTTTATTCATCCGCTATCCAGGGTTTTTTTCCAGCCCCCAAACACCCTCAAAATCTCGGCTTTCAAATGTGCTCCAGACCATGTTGCATAGTGGCTGAGCACCTCAGCCTCGATTTCAAAGTGCAGGGTCAGGGGTCAAAGAGCGATGGCTGTCACGGGGTTGTCAGGGAAGAAGTTAATACTCCTCACCCTCCTCCTCGCCTTCACCCTCCACGGAGTCCACACCGACCTCCTCGTAGTCCTTCTCCAGAGCAGCCAGATCCTCACGGGCCTCGGAGAACTCACCCTCCTCCATACCCTCACCCACATACCTGGGGACGCACACGTCAAACGTTTGGTTAAACGACTTATAGATCTATATATTAATTGTTACTGATTGAGTTTCAAGTCACACAAAATGCAAGGAACACAGAGACATCAGAATAATGCACTGAAAAAATCATTATTATGTGATAAAAGACACTAGCATAATTGGAGACGCACACGTGAAATTAT